AAGAATTTCAATAAGACCCTATGTAATACAATTTCATGATTAGTGATAAATGTAACAGATTGGGATTTATTAATATTACCAATACTATTTGCTTATCGAATAGCAAAACAAGCCTTTACCTATGAAACGCATTTTTATTTGGTATATGAGCGAAATGCAAAGTTACCTATGCATCCTAATGAATCCCCGGAGTTGTTGAATGAAATAATCATCCAATGGATATACAAAATCAACCATGATCTTGCAGAGGCCCATAAATAAGCATTGTGCTAAATTTTAAAAACTCAGGAAAAACTGAAAGAGTAACACGATCGACAGATCAAAGCCACCCCCGACTTCTCAATAAGAGATAAGGTCGTCATTGAAAATTCAAAAATATTAAGTACGCGAAGCCATAAGTTTGTGCCTAAATGGAAAGGACCTTATTACATACATAATCAATTAACGAATGGTGTGTATAAACTATAAGAATTAAGTAGGAAAGTCTTAAAAGTATCATCAATAAAAGACAATTAAAGCTCTACTATGAGTGAAATTTATAAATAGACGTTCATACAAAAAGAAATTAGACCACAATAAGGATCTATACTTATCTGAGAAATAAACAATGCCCGCTGACATTAATCTCCTTGTTAATGACTTATTAACCCTACACTCCATGAATGTTATGCCGCTACCAACTCCTTATGATGTACTAGACACTATCAAAACCAAGATGGAGACTACTTATCGATCTCTTGTAAGATCTTCCAAAGCAGGACATCATTTCAGTGGGTTGATCTATGCATATTATCTGGAAGAATTAATTGAACAATTAACACCAGCCTAATGAACCTTATATAAAGCAAAAATGACAAAACATTATTATATGGCCACAATTCATGTGTATAACATCTTTAAACTCTTCGATGTAGAACAAATTTGCTGTATCTACTATACAAATTTATCTAAAATCACAACCTTGTCGCATCATTATTATCAACAATTGATCCAAATTGCCCTTACTTTGAAGTCTATGCCTCTGTGAAGGAAGAATTTACTAATGAACCTATGGATAAAACCTTAGTAAACTTGGCACAATAGAATTCTTTTTCTCTCTTTTAAAAAAAAAAAAATCTTTTTAGTTTATTATATTATTATATTTTATATAATTATTTTTACTTATCTTTCATAGTTTTTTTCTTGTAGAACTCGAAAATAAGGTTGGAAGTCTGTGAAAGTGAAAATCGACACTAAGGTAGCTTGGGTCAATTCATCCAAAATTGGTCGTGGTCATACCTACTAAATATACCAAATATACCAGATATACTATATCTGCTATATATAGCTGATATATCATATATACCAGATCTGGAAGATATAGTATATCTGGCAGATATAACATATCAACCCTATATAGTAGATAGAGAAGAAATGTTAGAAAGCATTTCATAGTAACAAAACATATATATAAAGAGTCCAAAACATAGCTTGAATAAAGTAACTTCCCGAGTTCAAATTAATTAAGTTCCAAGAAATCCTTCGAAATTTGAGTACAGTAGAAGCATTTGTCTTTGGTTCTAATATATCTTCTTGTAAAAATCGGTCGATGTATTAGTAAATTCTTGCTCCTGTGACTTTTGCATATCGATTGTCGTATTTAGAAAGAAAGAGATATTGTATCAGTAATACAAGTCCTTATATATTAAAAATCACACCTAATTTAGTTTGTGATCAATATTATTGTCCCCAATTTGTGATCCTGTAATACCGTGATCTTGTACTACATCTCCGATTTGCTAGTTTTGATCACAAGACCCAGCCACAGCACCTGCTAATGAAAGAAGCCAAGTGTTAGTAAAGTAGAAAGAATAGTGACTAAACCACCCAACAAAGGCAAAAGAAGACTTATCTGAACCTAGCACTATTACTAGAAACCTAATTAATCCCTGGTTACTCAGACCAAGTCTTTCCATATCTCAATCATCGCTTTATCAATATTAAGGTTTGGTTATTATAGTAATTGTGCTAACCTTGAACAGTTTAAGTAGTATTAGTATGTATAGTGAGTTGTCCTATTTCAACCAGCACCTTTTCTAATGCAACTAATAAATTCACAACGTACATACGTACCTAATACAAGTTATTAACTTGTATTTATTGGTTTATATATTTTATCAATTTGTATTGATAAAAATGTAGCTTAGTGTCCTAAGTCACATATTATATAGGTATATAATAAAGTAGTACAGTATGTAAACATAAATTAGGACAGATGTGTAGAAATTATAATAGTATGTATGGTTTGTAAAGAAAAAAGTTGTAGAATCCAAATTACTTTTTTTATAAATCCTAACATGAAAATGGACAATACTAGCGCTCACCCTAATCCTAACTATCAAAAAGGATTATTTATAAAATTGAAACTTTCAAGTCTATATTAACCATACGTATGATCAAAATTTGGTATAATTTTCATATGTCCGTCCAAATTTGTACTGCTGTATAGTACTACTTTACTAAATACCTATGTTATACAGGTTATATCTTGATTTGAAATTACAACAACTTGACAGTACATAAATCAATTTTTGTCTACATATTTATTAAAATATTTAGTTAAAAGACATGAAAGATTAAAGTGTATACCAATCATTATTCTAACTAAATATATATATGCATTTACCAGCAAATATTTAGTAGTAAAGCCAGCACTCAGTTCAAAAACAAACTGATTATATATCAGGATTATTATTAGTATTGCTCTTATTAAAAAACACTAATATGTACAAACTTGTCTACTATATGATATATATGTACATATGTATATATGTGCATGTGTTGAAGCTATATACAGTTTACTTTTGGGTTAGTGCTTTATATTAGAGGAGGGACTATTAATGTTACACAACTGATTTTACACACGGTGTGAAATACATAAAAAAATTATTTTACAATACTTGATTGGACTTGATCAGTCAGCTAGTACATGTTATGATTATAATGCAACATCATTTTTTATTATAAAAAAATGTTGTTGGATTATAATCATAACATGTACTAGCTGACTGATCAAGTCCGATCAAGTATTGTAAAATAATTTTTTTATGTATTTCACACCGTGTATAAAATCAGTTGTGTAACATTAACGGTCCCTCCTCTAGCTTTATATAGATATCAAGAATCAATTTATACAGCATATGATTGATAAAAATGTATGTAAATACATATGTACCTGGCGATTTAAGATTAGCATAGTGATTAATGAATAAATTTTTTACAAATTTTTCCTTCACCTTCTATACACAAAACATATGAATCTGTTCCTGGTTTAGCGCGACTGTGTCGCTCAGCCACTTATTAAATTTTATAGAATGTAAGTAAAGATCAATACAGTACGAACTATGTATGTATTGTAAATACCAAATCGCTAACCACCAATCAGAGTATGGTTACGGATAATTCAACTTTCTGCTCTTATTTTATTTTGACATATCTATGCAATGTAAACAGTAAACTTACATATTGAACTTTTTATAAAGAGCTCACTCTATAAGGCCATGCAAAGTTGATTTTTCGTTTTGCATTATCCGCCAACCCAAATTTTTCAAAATCCCTATTTTTTTTTTTTTTTTTTTTTGAGTTTTAATTATACTAATTAATCTATTTTTGCTGTTTATTTTTTTCATCTTTTTTATCTGGTGTTCACTGACGGTAACTTTAATTTTTCAGAATTATCTGATAGGACACCAAGCGAAAACTATACTTTGGGTCTTTAAATTTATAAATTTACTGAACTAAAACATGTCTGCAACAATAAAATCGTAATCCCGAGGCTGCTTTTCCTTTGTTGACATTCAAATTAAAAAAAAAATTGTAAAAAAAAAAAAAATACGACCAACTGACCCAATTTTCAGATTCCATGTAATGCAAAACGAAAAATTAACTTTGCGTGGCCTAATAAACTTTTTTTTAACAAATTTATTATGGAGTCGGTATAGGAACATTGTAAATTACTTTTACAATGAACTTTTAAAAATTTTTACTATAAAGAACTGTCAGTTCATTATAGAAAATTACCTATATACAATTTTTTTTCGTTTTATTTGTTTGCCATTTATACAGTATTTCAACAAAAAATAAAGGTGATCTCAAATATAGAAATATAAGAAAACACAACTATAAGAGTAGCAAAGTGATGGCGCAAAAATTTGGCGGTTCCGTGATTTCTAAGACAAATCGGGCCGGAAAACGTTCTGCGCCAAACCTGATCAGGGTCTTCAGATTCGATCTCAATAATATATTTTTGATCTATATATCTTTAAATTGAAATTGCACATATCAATATACTGATATTTATTCTCGAAATTAATATATGCATCTATATAGCTTTCAACAAAATAACGTAAAATATATCTTTGAATTAAATTCAACTAATTGAAAATTAACGTTAGTATGTATGCAATTTTTGAATTATATATTTGTAATTAATGATACAGCATCAAAATTAAAGTGAATAAATTTAAAGATTAAATATTTTGTGTGTAATTATTAATAAATTTAAAGATTAAATATCATGTGTATAATCGTTAATAAATATAAAGATTAAGTATCTTGTGTATAATCGTTAATAAATTTAAAGATTAAAATATTTTGTGTGTAATCTTCAAACAAATTTCTTAAATACATTAATAAATCTTAATTAAATATGTAGTATATAATAAATTAGCATACATGGCTTTTCACTTAATATAAAATGAGATTTTAAAGGCTCGGTAATCTTGCAAAAACCTGAATTTTATTTTTATTAAAGTTAAATTTTAAATCGTATATCTTTAATGCACTTAATGTTATTGCTACTATCTTGTTACCTCATTATAATTATTTCACTTATTTCTATTTTTCAATAACCTATCACTTCTATTAATCTCAAATCTCATAAACTTATCGCTATTATTATACTATTACTCCTGCTTCGATCCTATTGCTTCCTTTATTAAATTAATTTTATATTTAAAAATATGGCTTCGTCAGGTCAAACATCTGAAATTACTAATAATCTCGGCAAAAGATGCTTTCATTGTGATAAATACAAAAATTATGCTGATTTTACCTGTCAAATTGGAAGTAAAATGAAAGTATGTTCTACATGCAATACCTGCGCAGATAAAAAAAAAATCTAAAGCTGTTAGTTATGATGACAATAAATCAGATAGTACAATAATTAAGGATATGACTGATGATGACTGTGTGGAAGCAATAATTGTTGATAAAGAAGACGGGGCCTGGTTTAATTTAAAAGATTTAGAAAATTTAGTATCTAACTGTTTTGAAAATACAGATGAGAATGATCAAGTAAATTTTTCAGGAACTTTTAAGTTTGATGATGAATTAATTGATTATTTATCAAGCAAAAACCAAGAGAGTGATGAAGAAAAAATATATCATAATATAGCTGAATTTCTTCTTCTACCTATTGAATCTGGATCCCATTATTATTGGGAATTAAGAAAGATCTATGTTCATAAAAAAAATAATCAGTTAGTTGGAGAAGCAACAGTACATCTTGGTTGTGTACAAAGAGAAGATCTGAAACGTTCACGTCCTGACAGTAAGATAGTAAAGAAAATAGTCGAAGCAAGAGCTCCAATCGAACGATATTCCTGTGGTGAAAGCATTAAGCTTAATATTGACATAAATAAATGTCAAACGAAAATAAGTATTGAACATTTAATCACTCATAGCTACCCAACCCATCGTGAAAATAACCTACCACAAGATGCCATAGCTTGGATATCCAGAAATACAAATCGAAGTCACAAAAAAATAGATCTATATAGAATGCTTGGTGCAGAAGGACTTATCGATCCAAATATACACACTTATCAGCAGGTATTATAGAGTTTTAACACTATCTATAAAAAGTTTTAAAAAATTTATCCTGACTTTCTCCAAATTATCTAGAACAATAATGGAATGATAATTTGGAAAAGTCGAAATGTTAATAAATATCCTAATTGACTGTTCGAATTATTTGTAATAAATTATACAGGTGTACTATTGGGCTTCAAAATTTTCTGCTCAAAAATATATTACAAATGTATCTAATTAGCTTCTTTCGGCCCACAATTTTTTGGAACAAGACGAACTCATCGCTCAAGGATATAAAATCCTATTATATATTGAAATTGATTTTATTAGATGCCTTGGGTTTATTACGCCTTTTATGCAATATATACCAAAAAATAATATTACCAAAATTATCATCGACTCAACATTTAAAACCAACCAGGAAAAATTTGAACTTTTCGCTATTTTAAACAATTGTGGTGGTTATGGTGCTCCACTTCATATTTGTATATTTATGTTTTAACGGCTTCAGTAGAACGTCTTCAAGATCTACAAAACAGAATTCATTCACGAGTACTAGCTTTAAAGAATTCTTTTCTTTATTAAAAGCTGAAGGTATTCAACCTTGTTTAGTTTTAGTAGACAAGGATGCTGGCGAAATATCTGCTATAGAAGGAACTTGGTTAACAAAAATCCAGCTCTGTTTGCGGCATATATAACATGCCATTGAAAGAAAACTAAAGGAAAAAAAATATAAGGTCAGTCAATATACATCGCAAGTCGGTAAGTAAGAAAATTTTCATTTTCAACTTTTTTTTTACTTGAAAAATTCTATTTTTACCCAGGTTAAAGTCATACGAAATACTTAATTTTAGTTATGTCAATGATATAATTTATCGAGTGACTTTAATTCGGGTGAAAATAAAATTTTTTTTTTTATTTTAATTAATCTATTTGAGTTCCAAATGCTTCTACTACACATACCTACTAATTTTATTTTTTTATTAGCATTCAATGCTAACGAACAATTCCAATTCGTTGATGAATTTTGGATACCAAATCAGCAAGAAAGTCCCGTATATCCCCAAGAAAATATCAAAGAAGTTTTAGGAATAATCAAAAGACATGCGCTATTACATCCTCTCATTCCAATAAAAGGAGGTGTATTTCTTACCTCGAATGAAATTTATCAACTAAGCGTTCAGGAAGTATATGAATATTGTAGAAGAAAAATTCTCGTTCATCTGTGGGAATATCTATGGGTTAACTGGTATAAAGAAGGTTGGTGGAAATTATTTGCCCGGGCTTCCTACTCTAAAGCATTACCACTAGCAAAAACCACCATGATAGTTGAAGCACACTGGCGTGTGCTTAAATATAACTATAAATATACTTCTAATTGGCCCCGTTTGGACCATTTAATATATATTCTAATGCAAGAATTAATTCCAGATCGAATATATGACTGGAACAAATTTAATAATAGTCGTACATTTCCATCATGGTGGGAAGCATTTAAAAGCAGTTGGAAAATGACTTTGGAGAAGGAAGTTGATGTGGAAGGAAAATGCTATACCGATGTTGATAAGTGGATTTGTTCATGCTCTGCATTTATGGAAAGTAATCATATGTTATGTAAACATCTTGTTAAAAAATATACTACCACATTTTGGGATTTCTTTCCTCAATTTAAAACTACCAAAAGAAGACATGATTATCCACTTATCTCTTTTGGTAAGAACGATCCTCCAAATATTATGCCAGTAAATATTCCCTGGAACGAGATTTCTGAAGCTTCTTCAAATGAAATCGAAAATATTAAAGATGTAGAATTAAACCTAAATTATTGAAACAAAACAATTGAAGATAGGAAAATAGAACTAGAGGAGGACAAAAAAATGTTTGAATCTTTGTTAACAATTGTTTCAAATAATATTCAAAATGATTGTTTTTATGATACTTATAAAAAAATGAGACATACATTAATAATTGAAACATTAGCTTGCTAGCAAGCTCTAAAAGCCAGAACACAACAAGTAACTTGGAACCCTCTCCATGGCTCAAAACTGGCTTTTTGGTTACAATAAATTATTTTTTATGTCTGTAACTATTTTTTAATATTAAATATTTGTAAATAAACTTGTATTATTACAGTTTTTTCGTCGTTATTATTTTTTAAAATTTATTAAAAGAAAAAAAAGTGTTTCGTGAACACTTTTTTTCAATAAAAAGTGATTGGATAAAGGTGTTGTACAAGATTTGGAAGATCGATTGTCTCGGAAATCACGGGACCGCCAAATTTTTGCGCCATCACTTTGCTACTCCAACTATAACACACTCACTATAATGAAGTCCTCAGGTTAGGAACAAATCCACACTATAACTTATATCAAGAAAATACTAAACATATTTTACTAGATACGATTCAAAACTCTTCATTATATCCAAAGTTTACTGTAAAGAAGTAAGCTATCTTTTGACAGACTGGTTTATTACGTTATCTAGCTTGTGAGTATATTTTAGAACTCTATAATATTTTATAGCCTTGTTTGAATAATTTATGATTACAGATTTGTTTATAAATCCAACAAAAACAATATTAGTTGAGTTGGAAAGTGTAGATGTTTTTTGTATATCCGATGATTTGATATTATTTGTACAATAGAATTCGAGTTTTACAATTAATTTTATTGAAAAAATTTTTGAAATAAAATTTCCGGCAAATGTTATGACTTTTAAATTGGCTACTTTCATTATTACACAAATTAAAAAAAAATGATTGTAACAGAAACTTATAGAGATTGTTTTAAAAAAACCAGTAAGTTATATAGTATATTATTTTTTTGTAAATGAATATACAGTATACAAACGAATAAATTTAGAAAGCAAAGACAAGCATTCTAATTAAGCCTCTGTTATCTAAAACCTAAAAACTCTAATTGCAAGTGAATTCATTAATATTGAAGAATAAGAAAGGGTTTAAGGATTGAGCATGAAAAGCTTGTGAGTTAAAGGATAAAATCATGATATAATGTTATTGATTTTTAATTAACATCGCAAATTTGAATATAAGGAATGTATTAATTAATTACACTTTTAAAGTAAAACATTTTTTTATTAATTTATCGTTATACTGTATTTATCTACATAATAAATTATTTAAAATTATATAATTTACCGG